ATGGCTGTCTCAATGTTTTAAGAGTGGGGGCTTCCTTGGCACCAACACACTCTTTGAAGCAGAAAAACTCTTTAGAAAGTTCTGTACATCTTAATGTTTTGCACCTTCGAATAACGAGGTTGAACAAGGATTTTTCTAATTGAATGGCTTTCCTCATGTTTTTCAGGAGTATAATTTTGGCTTTTGTGTCTCTTTAGATAGCTGTATAAACAGCATCAAATTATATTTTATAATAGGCATGTTTAATGCTTTGAGAGTAATTGCTCTTTGAAATTTGTAAATATGTTTGGAAGCATTTCTAGAGCTGGAGAATTGCTAATATTATTATCTTAGTTTAGGCCTTGTGTGTGCAAGTGCTATACAAGCTTGCCTCAAACACCTGTCAAAGTAAGTTTTAACTTTAACTATAGCTATTCCTCAACTAACTTGTATATATATCCATTTAATCTGGACACATCCTTAATGCAGAAGAAGTTGGTGTTTTACTGACTGAATAAAAATGAGTAATGCTACAACATAATTCTGCAGCCCAAATTTTGCCTACTTATTTGAAATCAAATACCAACTTCAACATTCCTCACACCTGCTGCTCCTGAACATGTTCACTCCTCCTTTCTGCTTATTTTGAAAGTTCTTCTCCCAGGTTTTTCCCAAGTTCTCTTCCCCTTTGTTCTTTAAAAGAAAAGGGAAATCTCTTTATACAACCTTACTTCCTATTCTCTCCTCTTTGTATCTTCTAATGCTATTTCCAAAACATCTCTGTTTGACCAGATATGGTCACTGGTCTTTGTAGAGACCTCAAGACAGGGAAGGAGTGACCATCAATACTTCTTTTTCTGTGAGAAAAAAGCATTAAGTAGCTATTAAGAAGCATGTAGAAACAGCTGTACTAGTTTGGTTATAACAGCTAAACTGGTTATTACAACAATTTGACTTGAGTAAAATGAATTTTTTAATCCACAATCTAGACCTTCCCAAGTAGGGGAGCAGTCATTTTTGAGATTTTTTTTAGTGTTTGAATATTTTGAATAATCCAATTCTTTAGGCCAGGGCTGTCAAACTCCGGGCCTATGGGCCAGATGTGTCACATGCTGGCCACGCCCAGTTAAGTGAAGGGGGAAAAAGTTCCGATATGTCATGTGACGATGCCATGACGACGTGAGTTTGACACCTCTGCTTTAGGCAGTAACTCATTCCTCTTTCTTTTTTTGTCTTCTGTGTAACTGCAGTGATCACGTTCATATGGATTTTTTCTACATGATCTTGACTTACAACCAGTTGTTTAGCGGTAGTTTGGAATTATTATACCCTTGGAAAGGGTGCTTTATGGCTTTTATGTTCCACCACCCTCTCCCATGGTCACACATAGCATATACTTGGAACTCACTCACATTTATGAGTGGTTGCAATGTCCCGTGGTTAAGTGGTCATGATTTGAGATGTTTTTTGCTCATTTCTGACTAAAGGGAAAATGGACTTATAGTGGTGTGATTGATGTAACAACCAAATAATTTACCTAACAACTGCCAAAAATGGTCATAAAGTCAGGACCACGCACATGGATACCTTGACCTATGACTGTCACAACTTACAACCAAAACTTTGGTCCCAATTTCAGTTGTAAGTCAAGGACTACCTTTAGTTTCCATTTAGCTAAATTCACTTACTTTCCTTAGTTAGAAATCAATGAAAGGCTAGAAAGCAGTTTTAATTCTTTTTTTTCCCCTACATTGCTTTCCCATGGCAAGAAAAGTGTGGAAAAATTAAGCAAAATGATGACAGCCTGAAGGACCTTCATTACACCACTAACGTTACACAAATTTGTTGGTTCTTCCTTTTTGATAGCTTCAGGAATAAAAAAGTCATTCATATATTTTAGCAGCTATGAAACTATTCATTAAACTGTAACACAAGGAATTGGTATGATTTTAAGCCTGGTGACCTAAGATCTCCCTCACTCGTTTCCATTTTTTTCAAAGAAAGTGGTAAATCTTTGTTCTGTTTCATCCCAGCACAGGTTAATAACAGCTGTAGGATTTAGAATTGAGTGAGCATAGATAGGGCTGTAGCTTTCTTTGTTTGAAAAACAAAACAACTTCTGTACAGATTATTGTACAAACATGATGAATGTTACCATTGTTACCATCAATTCCATCACCACCTCAACCACTATTCCTGTATGAGAGTACAGTTACATAATGCCTGCTATTAAATGCATAGCTAATATTTTTGCAGTTACATACTGAATTGCTACCACCTTGAGAGACAAAGTAAAATAGGCAATGTTGCATTCTAACCCATCTCTCTTTTTTAACAAAAAAAAAACAGATAATAAATTCTAGAGGATATAATAACACGATTAATGTGTTATTATCCATATAAATATCCATGTTGGTCAACATTCTATTTCCTTTTCTTTGCTATTTTTTCTTTTCACAATAGAATTCTGTGGCTGCTGAATCTAATTTATTTAAGAAAACAGGAGAATAAATATTTCCCTTAAATATGCCTTATCTTAAATATTTATCTTATTTAATAAAACAAGGTTGCTTCTCCATTAGACTGGGTGTAGGAAACTGAAATACAAGGGATTTGCAAACCTAATCTAGATAATGAACATGTGACTGCTATGGTCATAAGTGTGAGGACCGCAAAAGTCACTTTTTCCAATGCTGTCATAACTTAGAACAGGTGCTAAACAAATGGTTGTAAGTCAAGGACTACCTGTACTTGGAAGGTACTTTTATATCTTCAATAAAACTGAAAAACCTAATGATCTTAATGACTATATTATGGAACTGAGCTTATTTCCTCTTTTTAACTGAATATTTTGCATGTATTTTGAAGTACAAATAATGCATTCTAGCAACTAAATCAAACTTGAGATTGCCTTGCATAAGCCTTCCCTATGAAGCATGAACAAATTGTAAAACTTCCCGTTCTTTAAATGCTCACAAATGCATTTGAACTCAGTTGCCTGAAAGAAAAGCCAAAATAATCAACCAATCAACATCCTGCTTCCTGGAAGGCTAGGACACACCCCCCCCACTTTGTAGTTTATGCAGTGTGCATTTGTTCAGCTGATTGGAAAAAAAACCTGTAGTTGTGAGAAAACATTACTCGTTGCAAGGCCACCTTTTCTCTTCTTCGACGTAATTATTGTCATATTGTATGCATTATTTCTAATAACATATAATAACAAAATAATTTTTCTTATTTGCATTTTTTTCAAACTCTGCCTTTCTATTAGAATAGTCATTCTTTGTATAGCTGAGAAATTTCTAATCTAGAAGTATTGCTTTAAAAGGCTATATAATATACCTTTTATGATTAATTCCTAAAGGCTATTGTCACAATGTCATATTATTGCTATATTACATCAATGATTTTATGACAATGATTAATCTCATCATTCCCAAATTTATCCTCGCAACTATTGTTTCAAAGATATAGTCTTTAAAAAGTCTTGTGCTGGTTAATGACCACAATAAAATAATCTATTCTAATTTAACCTAACATCTTATTATATAGTAAAGACAAACTTATGCAATCCATACTTAGCACACATCAAAATTTTTTACATAAAATAACATGTTACTCTATAAATATTTCCAAAGCTCAGGGCCAGACAACAGCAAGGACCTCTGAAATACGATATAAAAAGGGGGCCTGGATGGAAGCAAAATTAGCCACTTTTTGACTTGGTGAATCAATACAACGAACATTATTAATGGAGGAATCACAGCTCTCAAAATGCAAGTCATCAATACCCAAGCAAGAAGACAAAATTGTGAAGTGTTCTGAAAGGGATAAAACTACTTATTTAATGCTCATTTATTTAACATGATCTTGGACTCATCTAAATGTGCCATACAAAACCCGCTAAACTTTTGCCAAAAAGTAGATCACCACACAGATAGAAAGACAAGGCAGCAATGTTTGTTGCTCTTTAAAGCACATTCTTCTAAGCATTGCATGGCAAAAGAAGGACTGTGTCTACTAGTGCCTTTCCTAATCACCTCCAGCAGCATTATGTAGAAGAGCAGAATAGGAATTAAAATAAAGAATATTGTTCATTTTGATACAGAAACAGGTCAGATAACTGATTTGATTTGTCCCCCCCCCCCCAATATTCTGGCTAATTCTTGATATATTATAAACTTGATAGAGTATATTCAAAAATAGTTTGAGAAAATCTGCAACAATTCATCTTGATTGGAATAGTGACATCATTCAAAGCAATATTACCTTTCCACCAAAGCAGGGGTGTCAAACTCATGACAACATGTTGTTGTCACGTGATGTATTGCAACTTTTTTTCTCCTTCGCTAAACTGGGGGGGGGTGTGTGGGCATGGCCAGTGTGTGATTCATCCGGCCTGTGGGTCGCGAGTTTGACACCCTGTACCACAGCAAAGCAAGGTTCATGATGTGGAACTGATATCTCTCAAACAATGTGATTTCACAAATCATACAGATAGTATTTTGATTCTGATCTAGAGATATTATTCTCATAATGCACACAGTATGTTAGGTACCTATTTAAGTTCACTGGTACTGTATTAATTTTACAGATAGGATTGCTTTTATGTTTGGCCTGAAACATTTTGGTAAAAGGATGTTTCAGAAATGTTACAAACACCAGCACAAACCTGAGTCAGCTTGAAGTATTCAAGATAATTATTACAAAGGGAAAAGGATGAATTGCAGTTCAGTAAACCTACAGAGCCCATTTTAAACCACATCTCTTGGGAATCTTCTAATAAAAAGTATATGCCAGTTTTCCTTTGTAAAACACAATGCCAAGCAAGGACATGATCTTTTGGAATCAATAATAATTACATTGACTTCTTCATCTTCCCCATCCTATTTTTATAAAGCAATAGTTGATTCAGAAGAAAAACAACATATTTCAGCTCATGGTGTTTCTCAAAATGCTGAGCACCTTCAGAAGTCATCTCTGGCTAGGAGCAAAAAGCAAAACAGGAGAAAGTTTCTTACTGTTTCGGGGCTTCTCCTCATCCATGCCTTCATCCTCATTTTCTGGATCTATATCTTCTGCCTGAGTTATCCAGTCTAGATATCCCTTTAGGTCCTCCTCCAGTTGTTGTTTCTCTCTTAGCTTCTGAAAGTCACCTCGAGCTTTTGCTTTTTCTCTCTCTTTAGAAAACTCCCTGGTGAGAAGGAGGGGATTAAATTAAAAGAGCAGAAGAGAGAGAAATACAAAGAAAAAAAGAGAAAGAGAGAGAAGATAATAGAATAACTTGAATTGCCCTTAAAATATTAAATTTCTTGGTATGATAACTGAGCTGCTCATGTTAATTTAAACACTGTGGTTCCTCGAGATATATTACTAGGTTTTAAAACTGCTAAGGTGACCTCTCTATGCTGGATCTCAAATTACTTTTGTAACTTGAAATGTAGATATTATTATTATTGTTGTTGTTGTTGTTGTTGTTAAAATCTCCTATACCTGGTGCAATTCAATACATTACTAGAAATATAAGGCAGATTTGTTTCTTATGTCGTATTGATTTGCTGTCTCATGTTCTCTGTCCTAATCGTTTGGGTTTTTGTTCCATTGTCAGGATTCTAATCATGATAATTTGAAAATAGAATAATACAAGATACTTTATTTAATTCTTAGGATTAAAAGCATCTCAGTGAATTAATTATTGGAAAGAGTTTTGCTATTAAAATAAATAGACCTACTACAAACGTGAAAAAACCATAAGAATTTGTCTACCAAAACCCACATTTTTGTACCAAGAAACAGTAAACAAAAGGTGGACAATAAGAAAATCTAGTCAAGATTTAGTGCCTTTTTCCAAGCAGCACTTCATATAAGTAAGGTGAACAGCATTAGAGATTATTTTTTTATTAAGCCAAGAAGATTCAATTTAATTTTTTATGTCCGTGGAGTCCAATCTCTTATAATGTTGCCCAGTATTGTCCACTAGAAAATGCAACTTAGGCTGTATTGGCCCTGCAATATTAAACATTATTATTTAAAAATGTCTTTTAATAATAATAGTTAGAAGATTTATGCTCAACACTAGAAAGAATATTGACTTTAGACTTCTGATTCTTTTATTACAATATCAGATCTACTACCTGGTAGTAATGGTCCTGGCTTTAAGGACTGTATTTTACACATCTTGAAATCTTTTAAATTATAGAGTCAAAGACTGAATCTGATTTTTTAAAAAATATAAATAGTTTGATTTGCTTGGCATTCGTGCAAGAGTGATGGAAATTCACCTCAAGCAAAGCAAATATTTGCCATCTACTACATAAGGGGCTTGGTATATTTTTTCTGCATCAGAGAAAACCATTATGTTAATATCAAATGGACATTTTTCTGGGATCTCTAATACAGTATTAAAAAATGTTCTAATGATGGTAGTAAACGGGGTAAATGTGTGATCAAAATGCATCTATAGACAATTCTCTTTTATTTGACATTTTGTGAAGTATTTCAATTTCCATTCCTTCCTGCACTTTTGCGTATTGCACGAGGCCAAATTGTGTTTAGCTTATATAGTACAGGTTAAAATAAAGCAATATAGTTTATTTGGTTAATTCCTGGTTTGTTTCATCTGCATGTCTTTTGCCAACATCCAAATCTCTAGCAGAGGTGTACAACTATTTCACCAATCTATTTCCAGGAATGTTTCCTAGGAACCAAGGGAAATGTTTTGATATTTACACATTGCTGCTTTTTGCTCTGTGTTTCATCTGTTTTACTTTTGTGTGAATGTCACCTCTTATCATGGGGACTCTCGGCAGACACTTTGGGCAGGCATATATATTTTACCTGGAAGAAGCACTCCTGAAGTTACAGTGAGCCACAAGCATATGGAGCTTTATACTGTAGATCACAACCAATTCCTTAAAGCATGCATGAAAACAATCAGAGCCCGTAGAGTTGCTACAGTAGTGGTGTTATGCGGCAGTAATGTTTCTGTCTTGGAACCATATGTGCAATTGCACTGTTCATCAGCTGAAGTTTTGATGGTTTTAAGGGTATTGAATAAACCACATTACAATAATCTAATTAGCAGGCCATAAGGACATGAATGGAGATTATTTCACAGAAAGCAGAGTGTAAGTAGAATGAAGACTGAGGATGAGAGAAGAGTTTGGAGAGAAAACCATTGGACCACAATTTAATCTGAGAATTTGGGAATCAGTCTATATTTATTTTCAAGTATTATTAAGTACTATTCAAGTACTATATTTCAGGATTTGTCAAAGAGAACGAATACAAAAACAAACCAGGAATAACACAGGATGCCAGGTTTAGCTAAATTAACAAGGCAGGTTTCATAAACCAACTTTAAACCAAGACACCAAATTCTTCCCTTAGCATCTATGTGTTCAGGTATTCCAAAATTACTGTTATACCAAACCCTAATTTAGCACTTTTATAGGGCAAATTCATTTTACAATGATCTTCCAGTATTGCTAGTTTTTGGCTATCGTGCTAAGAAAGCAAATAATATATTCCAACTGGTAAAATATAAACATGGAATACACAGAATTATAATTTTAATTTATAACATTGAGCCCAAATTCCAACACAGTGTAGGAATCTAAACTAATGCAAAGATGATGGTCTAGCCTTAGTTTGAATGCATTTAATTTCTCTCTAGTGACTAGTTCTACAATACTGCGTTCTACTGTTCCACCACATGGGGTTTGGCCAAAGATCGTTGATATTATCAAAAGAAATGTAGATGCTGAATCAACAATTATATCCATAACACCACCCCAAAGAATAGAAATATCAGTGTAGAAGCAAGGAAAATAAATAGCAAATACAATTGAAAAACCTTTTTTTCCTTTTTATTGCTTACCCGCTAAGTACACCGAGAACCAAGTTAAGTACAAAAAATGAGCCTATGATGATTAGTGTAACAAAATAGATCCAGGGCCACTCCCTTCCTATGGCATCATTGACCTGGAAGAGTGGAATGATAATTAGTAAGAAAAGTTAATTCCCTGTGCATTGCAAGTCTCCAGTTGAAGGGACCCTCAGCCACCAGCACTGAATTTAAATGTTGAATGAGTCAATTATGAAGACAAGGCGAGAGAGGAGCCTTGTGTGTAGGAGTGCACCAATTTTTTAAGTTCTCCACTCCTGATGGAGTTATTATTGTATAGTCCTACTGTAATGTGACTGCCCTTAGGCATATTAATGATATGCACATTTTCATTAAACAGACTCTTTGCTTGGGTTTATGATAAGCTAGGAAGCTTAATGACCTGGAAGGATCCTGAGCTCTGGAGTCTTGCCCTGCAGCATGAGGAGAAGAAAACACCAAAACTAACAGCTTACCCGCTCAACACACCAAGAACCAGATTAAGAACGAAAAAGGATCCAAAGATGACCAGACTGACAAAGTACACCCAGGGTAACTCATAGCCCATAGCGTCCTGCATCTGGAAAGATGGAGGATAGTTAGAAGACAGAGACAGAGAGCAGAAATGGTTAGGAAGAGAAGACAGGGCTTACATATCAGGCCTATCTATCTGACTCGGAGAGTTGGAAATGTTATAGTTGTTATTTATTTTGAGTTATTTTGAAGATCTCGTGGTTCAAGACGTTATGGGAGATCAGAAAGTGTGCATGAAGGTTCAATCACATTATAGAACTGGAAGCATTCTTATGTGCATGTCTTTATTTAAATAAGGAAAAAGAGATGCCTCTTACCAATAAAAATTCATTTCTGGAAGTTTTAAAAAAATAGACCACAACTGATAAATAATGCACCACAAATATTCAGTAGGTTAATATAGCTTAATGTAATATATTAGAAAATAATAATAAACAAGAGAAATCTTGATATTGTTGTTTTAATTTTTTTTAAAGTCAGTTTCTTAATGGTGAGTTTAACTGTGGTTCATTGGAGAGCTTTCTTTTGACACAATGATTGCTATTTTTACTGTTAATAATGTCCTTAAGTGAGAACTTCAAATTATGAAAATATGATGTTCGAAATAGCCAGTCTCTTCACATTACAGCATATTCTGTACATACATTTTAAAAATTACAGTATTTGTAATTTTGTCAGGTTTCCTTTTTCCAAAGGATACATTTACATATATTTTAAAAACATTTCCTTTTGGCCTGAAAGGGGCCAATCCAAAACATTTATCAATATCCTCCAATAATTCCTATATGATTTACTAGCTTAATACAATATATATCATTGAACTTTTAATAATACTTCACATCAGGTCCAGCATTATGAGGAAATTACAAATCATAATGGCTTCAGGCGCCACACAAATCCAGCAAAACATATCTTTCCCCAGTTTCAACACCAGTTTCTTGGTTGTTAAAAGAAAAGTAAAATTTGACTTTTCTTTGAATTTCTTTTTAGGGTACAAATGTAAAATCCTGTCTCTATTTTATAGAAACATATGATCAATATGGCAACTGAACTGACTTATTCCTTCAATTTCCATGGATTTAAAGACAACACTCTTAAGGGGTAGCATCTAAAACTATTATGAACAATGAATACTGATATTCTGTGGAAATGTTTGTATCATTGGAGATTCCTTTTATAATGGAAAACAAAGAATTGGGAAAATCATAGTACTGTGTGACTGGTAACTAGAGTGTCCTGCTGAATAGCAAAAACATAAAACAACTTTTCTCTGGCTAACGTTGCATTAAACATGGCCCTAAGATGCATTAGCGCATTCTCATGCAATATTACCCCCCCATCAGATAAATCAGAATGGAATATCAAATCAACAGGAAAACTAGAATGTATTGATTGAGATGAGCTACAAATAACAGAATCTTGCAAGTATTTTATAGGAAAGAAAAGCACTATCAGAAAGAGTTTTTACCATGGTGGGCCAACACAGAGTTCTCAGGTGCAAGCAAGTCATTCCAGGGATGGAGCAGGGATGAACAAATGGTGACCGAAGTAGCTATGTTATATGTACCCATCGCATAAGCCAATTTTGAATTTGGTGCATTTATCCCTCTACTCTTTATTTCTGTCACTAGATAAAAATTATGACTGCCAATGTGTGCTAAGCAGAAAAAATACAGAGAAAACAACATTAGCATACTTTCCATTCTTCTTAACATAAACTGGAAGTTTCAGAAGCAGAGGAAGATTTCCCATTCTGCTATTTCCAGGCTTCACAGGCACTCCCTGTGAACAAATATTTTTTAATAATATAGAAAACCACTAGACTATAATCAACCAAAATTGGTGTAGTAATGCTTTCAAGGGTTAGAGTGAGTACAGGGTGCCTATAAATCTTGTCCTTCTAAACTTGTTTTCTGTCTTCAGTCACAGAACACACATATTTTGTGCCTTCTGCTAATACATTCATAAATTCGGTATTTTTAAAAAAGGCCAGGACACCAATAGGAATGTTACATTATTTACCAACCAACAGAATTATAAGGTGAGATATGTAGTTGTGGATTTTGCTTACTGGCAATGCCAATCTCACTGGACTGTCTTTAATCTTTAATCTCAGCATCTACTTCTGTCCTACTACCGCAACACCATTGAGAGTGTCCTGACATACAGCATTCTTGTATAGTATGGTTGTACTATAATCTTGTATAGTTGTCTGTAGCAGACAAAAAAGCTCTACAGAGCATCATTAAAACTGCCCAGAATATCATTGGGCTCCAGCCACCAGCCCTGGATGACATCTTCACATTTCGCTGTTTAAGGAAGTTGCACAACATTCTCAGAGACTCTTCCCATCCTGCTCACAATTTATGAACTGTTGCCTTCTGTCAGAAGATGCAGAACAATTAAAACTTGTACCACACTTTTTCTGAATAGTTTTTATCCCAGACCTATACTTGCACTTAACAATGAACTTAAGGACCACCATCAGTGAGCTGTTGGACAGTATTACTTGGTTTGTTGTGTGGATGCTTGTGTGTTTTTAGGAGGCAGGGAATTTTGGCAGATGGGGAAGTGTTTGGGGATTGTCCTGTGTATGTGCATGTTGAGTTTGGTCTCTGGGTGTTATGTGAATTTCATTGTGTGTATACTGTGTATACAATTACAATAAAGAATTCAATTTCAGTTTCAAATAATGGAATTGGTTGAAGCAAATGTTAAGTTTGGGATGGATTTCATTATTTTCACTTACACAGTTTGCATTCTTGTTTGTACTACAGTAAACTATTACTCTTAGGTATGAGATTTTGATCTGGCTTTTGCACTTGAGATACATATCATCTACTGTTGTTTCTTTTTAAAAGCACAGGAAAAATACACTTACGGCATTAAAACCAAGGAACACAGCAAAAGAGATCACAATGCAACCACTTGTTAAAGTCAATTTTGGAACGCCAATGGGTAGTGGGTGGAGGTGGGGAAAGAGATAGATGGATAACCTGGAGCAGACAATCTCACATTCTGAATGCTACAACCAAGGTTTTTGTGCACATTTACAACAATTTTATGAGAAGATAGGAGAAAAGGAGAGAAAAAGACATTTCCTGCTGACCTTAATGAATGGCCAGAAAACCAAGTTGTCTATTAGGGGAGTATGAAAAGCAACAACAACAACAAAAATTCCTCTGGCATTAAAATCATTTTTTTTGCCCAGCATATTTGTAGAGTTATCAGAATATTAAAGATGAATAATAGCCATAGTAGCAGAAAAAACAGGAAATCGCTTTTGCTGTTCCATAAAAATAGTTATCCATAAGAACAGGTTGATCTCAGATACTTTTCAAATGTTTTCTTTTTTGTGCTTCATATGTATGCTTCAATACATCCTAAGAGGAGAGCCAGTTTGATACAGTGATTAAGGTATCAGGCTAGAAATTGGAAAACTGTGAGTAACTGTAAGCTTGCTGGATGATATTGGGCCAATCACTTCCATTCAGCCCTAGGAAGGAGACAATGGCAAACCACTTTAGAAATCTCTCCAAGAAAGTTGCAGGGACTAATCCAGTCAATCATTAGGAGTCAATAGTGACTTGAAGGCATAAGAACAAAACAAACCTACTAAGAGTCTCCACAAGGAATTCTCCACATCTCTGGAGCTCTAGGTGGGAACTCTAGTGATTTGCAGAACTTCCACTCTCTCTTATGTTTCTCAAGATTGACTCAACATGTCATAGAATCATAGAATAACAGAGTTGGAAGGGACCTTGTAGGTCATCTAATCCAATCCCCTGCTAGAGCAGGAGAGACAATTCCAAATATTAGCCTCTACCTAGGATCAAACTCACAGCCTCCTGATTGTGAGGCGAGAGCTCCACCACTATTTCTGGGAAATTAGGGTGCCTATTAAATATCCCTGCAAGTTGATCAGGCAGTGTGTGTTGCTATCCAGATGATCATCTGAAGAAAACCAATCATAGGTTAAAGTCTGAGTAGAAACTCTTGATTAATTGTCTGTGGGTATATCACGAGCTTGATTAACCACAAACCATATAATCTCCCTGAAATTTCATGAAAGAATTGAATTTGTTGAGATCCCATTGCTTTTAAGATGGCACAAACCCACCATTTTTTTCCAATGATGAAACAGCAGAAGTTGAATCAAGTGCCAGAGATTCTTGTGGGGATTTTTTTTACATTGGGAGAGATCACCCAGATAAGGGTTAAGAAAGACCATGATAGACAATTGCAAAAGTTCTATTGTCATGCCCCTGTCAGAATCTGATTCTGAGGTGGAGGCTGAACAGCTGACAGGGAGTGGGAGTATGGCTCCTTTGGCTATGGAAGAAACTGTGGAAGGGCAAAGTCTGGCTAGGCAGAGCAGGGGAGAGGTAGAGCAAGGCAGAGGGAATTCAGAGGAAGATCCAGGCCCATCCCCTCTTCATCCTAGGGCATGCAAGGAGGAACAGAGAAGAGAACAACGTGAGTTGTGTGGCTTACAGAGGAGGAAAGGGCCCTGATTCCCTTCATTTGCTGCAGCTGGGAACACAAAGGGAAGCTGCACACAGCA